ACTGGTCTCAGTGCCTCTTCAAAAGGCTTATGTGTTATATATACGTCCCATACGTATGTGGAGTAGAGGAAAATGACAAACCACAGCAAAATACAAACCCAGCTGTGAGCACTCGTAACTCACTAAATTTATTGCTTGTCCAATTGATGTTGTTGTTGGGCAGAACTTTTGCAATTTGGCTTTACATTTTTGCTAATTTCAAATGCACTCGGCAGTAGCAATCGCTGGCCGAGAGCTGGAGAAAAAAAGAAAGCAGCCGCGTGCTGTTTGGCCCGGCCTAGGCACGAACTGGGCCATGGAATCATCGTTGGGGCATGAGCAAAAGGCAAATGAAGCTACAATTACGGGCGAAGGCAGCGCAGCAAACGGACACAAACACACAAAAGGAAGTAATTTGCAATTAAATTACGACGAAATGGGCAATAGAAAAGAAATTAATTGTCCACGAAATGCAATTATGCTCCGGTTGCACAGAAGTTAGAGCCAACAGAGTGGGCAAAGCGCAGCGCAACGGGTACGGACACAGATTGGCGACTGGCAGCTGCTCAAGTGGCTAAAAGGGCGAACGCCGCTGACAGCCAGTTCCGAGCAGCTGCCAGCTGCCAGCTGGCCGGTTGGCCAGTTGAGTAATGAAATTGCATATTAAGAAGTTGTCAAAATTATTAGTTTTCAAATTATAAATGGCAACTTTTGTTATCCATGCATCAAGCGTAACAGCAACTGCAGCTTTAAGCTTAAACGGGATGAAAGTCTTTGCTGGCTAGCAGCGGGCAACGGGCAGCCTTACCCTAATAAATTACGTATACTCTTTTTATTGAACTTAATTTCCTTTTGTAAACCACATTTTTTGGGCCTGGCCAAGTAAGCCGCTGCAAAGAGATATATGGCCCCGGTCAAAGATTACATTTAGTGGCCTCGCACACACATACACCAGCACACCTACTCACACACACACACACACACATAGCTGGCTGGGCAGCACTTTGCTGGCTCTCTTTCAAAGTGAAAAGATATTTCTCTGATTTTTGCTTGCATGCGGCTGAACTGCACAAGGTTGACTGCTGCTACTTGCCTCAAGCAAGCCGCAAGCAAAATGCAATGCCTTTCATGTTCAACTAATGTCCCTCCACCCCCATACATTCCCACCCAGCTGCCCAGCCCCTGGTCAAGTTTGTCTTAATGCAAAGCAAGCAAATGATCAGCAACAGCATTTTTCGGTTACTCCGAACCCCGAGTTCCGAGTGGGCCGCAATATGTTTACAAGGCTCAGAGAGTGCTGCATGCAGCAAATGCGTTTGCATTACGGTCAAATGTTTGCGGCTTGCCTGCCGCACACACACACACGTACCCACGCACACACACATACACATATAGGGAGCTTGTTGTTTGCGCCTTTATGGCAGCCAAACTTTGACCACATTTTGCTAACAAAAATATTACAACAATGTTGTCGTCGGCTCGCCGCCTTCTGTTAGTTGGCAACCACAATTTCTAGCGCTGGTTTTGCCAGTAATTTTTGGCCAAATAGGATGCAATTAATTTTGCAAAAGGGACAACTTCATCTGACAGCAATAATGTATTGCAGATTCGGCCATTGCATAAATTTTGTTGGTGCTGTAAGGCCGCGTTATCCACATCGCTCAAGGCTGTGAAAGTAACTGAAACGGAAATTGGTAAAGGATTACGGCCAAAGATTAAAATGTGCTAATGCTGATAGCCTCAACAGCGGACACTCAACAGGAACAACAACAGCAACAACAACTTCTGGTTACTCCTCGTTGCTGTTCAATGTCGTCCGGCAAACTTTTTACTTTGCATCCACATAAAATACATACCAAATAAAATAAAACAGCAACAACATAAAAAGGCTGTTGGGTGCAAAAACAAAAAAAAAAATGAGAAAAGTTTTTAATTTATATTTAAACTTTTTCAAAGTGCTGAAATGGGGGTGTTATCTACTGCTGCTACTGCTGCTGCAGTGGCGACTGCTTCGCATGCAAAATAGTTCGCCAACACCAAAGGCTGCTTCTTCTGGCCATGTCTACATGTGGCTAGTTGTTAATGCCAAGCAAAAAGGCTAACAAGCACACAATATACACAAGATCAGCATGGCGACCAGTTCATTAGGGAAATTTAACAAAAACTCAATGAAAAATCTTTAAGAAGAGAAAAACTAAATGTGTCATTAAAAACGGACATTTTGAAAATTTGTCACCCATATACATTTTATAGCGAACAAGGAAGTTGTATGTATGCATGTAAGTTATGTAGAACGTACATCTGAAAAATATGTTCAACCCATAAAGCACATTATTTCTGATCAGAACGATAACCCGATTTAATCTGTCCGGAATAGCATAGCCTCTAGCTTAGTGACATTGGATATTTACAAAAAAATCCTATCACAGCCATTCAGATTCATTAACTTAGCATAAAGGTTATCTTCTAGCTTGCATCTCTCAATTTTATCACATAAATTGTTTTCTCATAGAAACTTGTCAATATTGTAAATGTGTTTGTCAATTTTATGTCATGTTTAATTTGCAATTCTCATTAGCCTTTCTTAATGAAATTATTGAAAATAAATCAACACAACCAACGTTTAAAAAGCACAACCGTTCGACCAATTTCAGCGTTTAAAAATGCGGTATATCAATATCAGCGACCATGTAATTTACGCTTAATTTGTAGCCATTACCACAAAAATGCATTAAGTATGTGTGTCTGTGGGTGTGTGTGTGTGTGTGTGTTTGCGAACGCCTTTAAATGTGCTGCAATTATTTGCAATGCAATTTTAATTGAGTGCTGAAATATTTGCGGGCAATTCGCGATGCAATAAAATATATAACGAGCATCAATTATATATTTATTGAAAATCTCTGCAAGGCTCATAAAACCATTTACAACTAATACCAATACTAAATAGGAAACATTCGTATTTGTTGTGCATTAAAAATTGTTGTAAAATAACATTTATTTTCGCTTTGACCTGTGTGAACAATAATTATTGCACATTGATAGCAATAGCATCTCTTTATTTCAACATTATAATTAATATTTCGGAATACACCTTATCGTTTAAAATTCAATGATGGCCAAACTTAAATATGCAAATATCTATATATAATATTATATATTAATAGATCAATTGCCAAATACATAACAGAAATATGAAATATCGAAGATACATTTAAGAAGTAGTATATTTATTTGTATTAATTTATTTAAAATATCATATTTACAAACATCCAATTTTAATGTTACCAACTTAGTACACGGAGGTAAATCTATTTTGATGCTTTTAAAACGGAGGCATTGCTTAGGTCTCTTAGTCCAGTTCTATGATAAACTAGATCTGCAGTTGACGTTTTCAATAGATACATGCGATTGCATTCCATCATTTTTGCATCGTATATCTAAGCCTGTGCCCCATCGCAGCTAGAGAAAAGCCACTTAAACACAAATGTGCAACGATCAGAGTATGGCTGTGTATGCTGCAACTGGCGTATGCAACTGCCAAAGTTGTTGCACAAATGCATTTGTAATAATTTAGCTGGCAAGCGTTTGCAGCAAGCTGCATGCCCTAACAATGTTTGCCCCTGCCGCTGCACGTACATGACTCCCCTGGGCATGGCTATATCCGTGTGTTTGTTTGCATGTGTATGCGTGTGTGTGCTAGTGTGTGCGTTAATAAATTGAGTTGGCCGTCTATGGGCAAATAGTGCAACATACAGCATTAGAAGCATTCCGAATTTGGTAACGGCGGCAGAGATGGAGGCAGAAACAAAGGCGGAGGCAGCATCAGCGTTGGCGTCGCACTGAGCCTGTCGATTTCATTTCAAATGCGCCTTTGGGCCATAAAATTTGACACAAACACGAGGCACACATGCACGCATGTAACACACGTACATATGCACGCATGCAGCACATGCAGCACAAATACACATGCAGCAAATGCACGCATGCAGCATGTTGCATGTGCTCATTTGCAGTCGTTATTAAATTGCGTTTTTAGAGCTAGACTGAGGACTTAGCAGGCAGCAGAGGTTCTGCCAGAGACTAAAACAGCGGCAGAGGTCCTGGCAGCGGCTGAGGCAGAGGCATTTTAATGAACTGACGCATGGGCAGGCAATGGGACTGCCCTTTGTGCATTTATTTGTTTGCATTGGCACTGATTGTATTTGCATTTGTGTGTGTGTGTGTGTGTATGTGTGTGTGTTTGTGTGTGAGTGTGTACAATTGGCAAGCGTTCGATTTCGTGTAATGAAATTTTCTAATCAAAGCGTTTTGTTTATTTGCCTGGCTGCTGTTGGGCACCGTTCAAGGTTTGGATTGGCTTGTTGACCAGCGACCGCACAACAAATGCACACACACATAGCCGTACATATTTGAATGTTTTTGTTTGCATTAGGTCAAAGGTTGTCAGTTGTGCAAATAGTAATTAGTTGTAATTAGGTTTTACATATGCACTGCATCGCACTTGCCATAAACAATTGAATGGGCATGTGTTTTGCTCGGAGGCGATCAGCTTAAATGTCAAATTGAATATGTCAAGGCTTCAAAGTCGCGTTTGAAGTGCAATTAAATTGGCGTTTTATGCGGCCAATTTGCATTTACGCGGCGAGAAATAGGAACAATAAACCATAATTTATATTTGTCTATATACATATATAATTAACTCTATTTCCCACAAGCGCGGCCAAAGTCTTTGAAAACTCATTTGAATATGAAATTCTGAAATTCATATTCAAATTCAAATTTTCGCAGCTCTCTGCACGGCTCTGCTCACCACGCTGTAGAGTTCAATGAGGTGTTAAACCATAATTTGCACAAAACCCACCCGCAAGCCCCGCCTCACCGCCTCCCTTTCTTCACCCTAGCCTTAACAAGCCGCGCACATTTGCATTTTACGCGTTTTAGCGCTTTAATTTTGCCTGAGTTTCTACAGTTTTTCTTTTTAACTGTTTATACCCTGTTCCTATCACAAAAAATATGACAAGGCATGCATTGCTTTCTTTTATATTTTAAATGCTTAAATATATGGGGAGCACAGTCTCTATGTTGAAAGTTGTATTTTATCTAACAGTTAAAAAACTGATGTCAAGAAAATTGATAAATGTTTGGAATTCGAATAAATATTGCCTAGGAGGCATCGATGCAATAACATGGAACATTTGTAAGTGAGCTTTTAAATTCTAGGCGAAGCTTGTTCACCTCGACAAATTCTCGCTCAGAAGTAATTAAACTAATTCCGAATACCTTTATTTTTTGAGCAATGCAACCAAAGCTAATATAAGATATGGTATTACCATCCTCTCTGCGAAATTCAGCTTCAGGGTATCTGCTTGGCGTGCATTTTAGACTATGGAAATTCTGCTTGTTTTTAGCTGCTTCTCTCAGCTTTTTTTCCGTGTGCGTTACATTTTGGCTAGCATAAAAGGCGCTCTATTGTTTGTGTTCGCAGCCACAGCAGCAGCGCCTCAAAGTGTTTGGCCACAATTACGCATTGGAGCTGAGCGGCTAGAGTAAGGGGGCAGATGCGGCGAAACTGGAGCTGAAGCTGTAGCTGTAGCTGGGCGTGAGATGCATACGCTGCCATCAAATTTAATCGCCATGAAATTTGTGGGCCATAAAAATGGATGGGGAGGAGCGTGGGCGGCGCGTAACGTTACACCAAATTTTATTAGCTTCAATTTAACAATTTGTTGGAAGGGGGAAGGTGGCCGGAGTGGTCCCCCTTGACTTTATTATTAATATTTAAACAGGCGGCAGCAACATTAGAATTATGCGAGCGGCGACTTCATTTCACCTGCTGCAGTTAATAAGCGGCCAGCGCTACCCAAAAGCCTGAAACAGAAACCATTTTAATTTTTCACATGGATGAGTGCAAAATTAAGACATTAAATGAATGCGCGTCCCCATCTACGGTGTGCGGCCAAATTGAGCTGGCTGCCACGAGTCGCACAGCTGGCGCCCGAGCAGAGGGTCCCAACACTGTCTGGCTGGGTTGCTGACGAACAACTGATTTTAATAACAGTCATCTGCCGCTGTGCATAACGATGCGTAACGCGAATGCGAACGCGAAGGCGAGTGCTCCCTGTCCACGTTATGACTTTGATTCATCAGCAGCAGCCCGAGCAGGAGCTGTAGATGGAGCTGGAGCCGGAGCAGCAGCAGCAGCAGCAGCAGCAGCAAGAGCCAAGGCGGACGGGCACAGACACTGTCCGTGTCGGCATTTGCATACAAATGGGCGTTGCCATAAGTTCACTGGCGTTGCCACAATTTGCTTTTAAAACGTGCATATTCTAATTGCCAGCAATTTGAGGTGGCGTCTACCGTTGCCGATGGCGTCGCTGTCGCCATCGTTGACAAAAGAGCAAAGTTTATGGCTAATACAGGCATTAGGTAAGCTGGTAATATCCGCAAATCTTTCCCCCTACCAACCACACAGAGCGCGAAACGCTTAAGACAAAAAGCGACTTAAAGTCAAGCAATTCTCGTGAATTCCCCAAGCATTTTGCAATAGCTTTGCTAGCCCACATGCTCCACGCAGCAAGTCCTGCAACTCGTTCCCCAGGCAGCGTCAGTAATAAAACTTTATTGAATTGTATTGATTTTAAAATTATTACCGCTGAGGCGGAAGTAATGCCATTGTGTGTGTGTGTGTGTGTGTGTCTGTGTCTGTTTGTGTGTGCGAGCAATGGCAGCTAAGTTTTGGCTGTGTGCGAGTGTGTGCGTGCGCGCTCGCTCAAGTGTGTGCTGCTGGCAACGGCTGTTGGAATTTCACAAACAACAACATTTTCATTATTGTGTGCAACTGTGCAAAAAAAGAACAAAAGGCATTGCGTCTTATTGTCGGCGTATTTGCAAGGAGTGTGCGGTCCCCCGAAAAAAGGGGTGGAAAAAGAGAGGAAGCGAGAGCTGTGCCAGAGCAACAGAGTTGGCAGCCTGCACTTTAAGGCGTTCGAGTGCTTAACTTTCCATTTCGCCGGCGCCGCAAAGTAGGCAATGCTTTTTTTCGTAAGCCCCACACATGCAGATACATACAAATACATACAAACATATACATATATTTATATATATATATATATGGTCTGGGGCACATATGCCAGCAGCGGTTTAATGAAAAGCCAATAGCAAGCCGACGTTCATTGTAATTTTCTCAGCTATTTGAGCGTTTTACTCTCAAAGTGTTTGTTGTGGCACGTGCACAGCAACAGCAGCAATAGCAGCGATTATCTAAGTACCTAAACAATACCAATATGCAGACACGTGTGTGTGGCAGTCAGTCTATAAGTGTATGTGTGTGTGTGTGTATATGCACATAATCACGACTAAACACACAGTTAATCGAGTGTAAAAATGCTCTTGGCTGCCCCTGTAAACACCGGCCATGCCATGCACTTAAAGCTTGAACAGCGACTGATCAATTTTAACTGCTCTCCAAAATAAATGATTATTTTATTATTTTATTATTAACAAGCCAATCAAATGGAATATGTAATATTGTCTATATGCAAATATTTACAACCGCAGAGCTGGCGCAAAGTGCAGGAATGTCTCGCATTAGAAGGTTAGGCCACATGAACTTGCAGCACACACACATACGCACACAGTAACACAGAGAGAACGTGTATGCAAATGTGAAAGCAGTTAACTTTTTTGGCCCCCCTGGCAACAGAGTGGCGCTAGGTAAGCCGCAGGATATGTTTGCCATCGCCACTATGCTCCAGCTGCAGCTGCGACTGCAGCTCTCTGTTCTGTCTCCGTGTCCAGCTCCGGCCTGCCAATTCATTTCTATTCATGTTATGCAATTCAATTGTTCTGTCCCCTTGACTCTTGGCACCCGCTGCCCAACATGTTCATGGCTCCGCTCCTGTTTAAACTTCCTTTAGCTCTCGTGATGCCGCACATGCATATGCACAAGCCCGCAACGGGTTTGGGACTAGGACAAGGTCTGAGTTTGGGGCTGTGTTAGTTTTTTTTTGCAACCTGCTTTCACATTTGCGGCCAGTTGCTGCTCTCCATCTACTGAACGAAACCCAAGCATATCCTGCTGCAATTTTGTTGTTCCTGCTGCTGTTGTTTCTGTTGCTGCTGCTGCTGCTGCTGCTGCTGCTGCTGGCGTCGTGTAAAGACAGCACTTGCGGTTGAGTTGATCTGACCGCTTGTCCGGCAAGCCATAATTATGCAATTTCTTGTCAACATGCTGTGGATGCACTTGCCGGAAATGGCCAAAGTGCTGTGCGGCTGCGGCCAAAAGACTTGAACATTTTAACTTCTTGAAATTGCCAGACATTTATAGGCAATTATGCAGAGGTTTTAGCTTCCGTTCATGTGCATATTTTGGCCCACTTGCTTGGCTTGGTACTTGTCACACAGGCTACTACCATAAATAATTCATAGCCTCAATTTGGCCCCTCAATCAAAAGCCTAATTTTCCATGCTTAGCCGAGCAACTGAGCAACTGACTCAACACACACAATGCAACATTGTGCACAGGATCCAAAGAAAATGATTGCATATAAAAATGGTTATATTTTTCATCCTCATGAGTCCTAATCTCCTCACACTCACACAGAAAGCGGATGAGAGACGTGGGTAAGGGAGTTAGGAAGTACATTAAGAGGCATGTAAAGCCAGTGCGGCAAGTGTCTTATCTACTTCCGGCTGATGTTTACGATGCCAATGCCACTGATTACCAACTGCACACAATAAGAGCGAAGGCGTCTTGCGACCAAACGAGAAGTTATTGCAACGAGCTGGCAATGGCAATGGCAATGCCTGAAAGTTGTCATGGCGACAACAGCCTGGCTCCGATTCCAATCTCCATATCTAGAGCTATATCAGTGTGTGCGCCCTTTCAGGGCAACAGATTATGATTGAGTCTGGTGCCGTACGCCGTGCTCCGTGCTCCATTCGGTATATGCTCCCAGGATGGCGTCATTTGTTTGGCTGCTCTGGCTGTCATCTCAGCGACAACGACATGCAAAGCTATGGCAACCGAAACGCGTGAAGCCATAACGCGCATCATTATTAGGCGAAAATTATTATCGCGTAGCCGCACTTTACAGCCCGCCCCCAATTCTCGCCTTTGCTACTTAAGTTTGACGCGATAACGACATTTGCTTGGGCGAATCTCATCAGCTGGATTTATGGCACGCATAATTTTTATTGTGTTTGAACTGCAGCCGGCGCAAAATTGGCAACGAGCAACTAGGTGCCAAAGCCAATCATGTGGCTTACATTGCTGCATACACTGAGAAAAGAAACTGTGTTGAATCAGTTAAATTTCAATCCAAGCGAGCTGCAATCGAATGTTCGTTCAGAAAAAAAAAGTACAATTCAAAATGTTAAATTAAAATTAACAATCACAATAATTATATTCTCAGCAGTAAGAACAGAGTATTACATAATCGGCAAATTGTGACTGCAACAATTTTAATTCTTTTCTCATTTAGGTAGTTTCAGTTTATTCGATTCTCTCAGTGTAGTTAGCTGATGTGGCACATGCCAGCGCATTGCTCAGAAGTTAATTTCTTGCGATTTCTTGTGTATGTGGGTTCAGCTCTTTTATTAACCATAAAATTCTTGTAATTTTATGTGGCAAAAAACGTTGCAAATTTGCATGTGCTTCATGTATGGAGCTGTTGCTGTTGCTGTGTCGGTGGCTGTGGCTGTGGCAGTGGCAATGGTTTTTTATGGCATCATAAATATGTATGTTTTGAATGGATTAAAGTCGAAATGGCGCATTAAATTTTGGGCCGGCTGACTGAAAGCATTTTTAGTGCCCTCCAGCTATGTTAGTCGTAGATATCAAGAGTAATTAACAGAAACAGAGAGAGGCGCATGCTAATGCATGTATTTATACGCACATACACAATCAGACAGTGCCTGAGGCAGCTGCATTTGCAATTAAGCAGCTTATTTTGCCCACCATCGGCCCAGCACTGTCACCTTGCCTGTAACGTGTGTGTGTGTGTGCAGCAGCTGCTGCCCAACAGGCAGGTTAATGTGAGCCCCTCCGGCAAACAAGCAACAGTGGAGAGTTGTGAGATAAAACCCGTTGTGCTTAGACTGGGTTCGCCTGGGCAGGGGCAAGCAGTAGCCTTTAGGGCACCCAGTGGCAGCTAATTAAATTTATTATTGTATAAAATTGGACACTTCCGGCGCGCAGGCACTCAACGGGTGACAGCCAATTCCAAGATGACGCAGCACTGATGAGCACCGATACAGAAATTAAGCAAACTGCAAGGCGTTAAGCACAATTTTCATGCCAACTAATAAGTTAACAGCACCATAATGGCCTGTTTCCTGCATGAATTGCCAATTATGGGTATACCCCCCACCAACCATAAAGCACCAAATTGCAATGTCACGGCTGCCAATACAACAATAACAACAAGCAATGAGCATTGCGTACTGTTTCCACCGGCCCTTGTCCTTTGAGCTGCTGCCTGCGTGTGATTGATGATGTGTCCGATTGAAATCATCAAATAAAACAAGTGGCAATGACTGTATCGGCGGTACAATGCAGTTCCTATGCAATTCCAGCAAAGCCTAACCGATTAAACTGAGCATAAGCATAAACATGACAAGCTTCGAGATTAAACAACTTAAGTTTCGTAAATATGTTTATATAGTTTTTATTATTACTATTATTATTATTATTATGAATATTATTCATATTTATATTATCATTATTATTATAACCATTATTATTATTATTATTATTGTCATTATTATTATTATTCTTGTTCTTATTACTATTATTATGACTATAGTATTAGATATAACTATCAAACTAAGTATCAACCTAACTTATTTCCAAAACTACATTAGCCTGAGATTTGAACCAGCATCCTTCTTGTTGAAGCCTGTGCATGACTGGGTAAATGAGATAGCTCAGCTTTATTAAAATATAATACTAAGCATTTTGACAGAACACCTACTCAAAAGCTGTTAATTTAGTATTCATTCCGTTATCCTGCGTATTTTAGCAATACGACAGACTTGCTCGTAAAGCCATTAAACTGGCCAAACTGGCCGCAGTGTTAATTATAGCGCTTATCTGTTGCCGCTGGTATTTCCAGAGAACTTGTTTTTCTGTTGTCAGAGAAATTGTTATTGTTGTTGGTCTTGTTGTTACTGCTGTTGCTGTTGTTTTGGCCAACCACCCGCAACACGCTGGTGTTGATTATTAATTACAAGGATTTAAATTAATTAGAGAGCTTAAAATATTAACAACGCCGTCGGCCAATTCCTCTAAACCAAAGCGAGGGCGAGGCGGGTCAGAGTCGATGTTACAAATTGATTTGAAGTCGTTCTCAGTGCAAAGGTTGGAAATGTATCGCGAATAAGTTACATGTGTACACATGTAATACCCTGTACTTGAGTTGCACAGCTAATGAGGCCTTCTGAAAGCTTAGATGCCATCAGTAGTTATCATAAAAGTTGGCTGAGAATGTTTGCAGACTGAAGATTTCTGTAACAACTCCCAGAGCTACTTTTTATTCAAACCAAGCTCTGGTCTAATACACATACTTGGCATTATCGAAAGAATTAAGTGTTAAGCTGAAATCCATTTCAGAAATTGCATTAAAAGTCTCGGAAAGAGTCAGCAATTATGATAGTAGGACCAAAAATTATAAAAT